TGTTTGGAGGCACAGTCTCAGACAACTTGGGCCTTCTGTCCAGCAGGAGATACATCTCTTAGCTCCTCTCCTTGCCTGCCCCCTGCACAACCCTGTGCCTCTGCTGATGGTCCCTCACTCCTATCCTTACACTGTTATGGAGATTTAGTCTCCAGATGGAGGCGGCTGTCCTCTGGTGTCAGGGGGAGGCCCAGTGTGTTTAGGGACGCTTCCATTACTCAGGATGTCTGCAGGTGCAGAATTAGAAACTCAGTAACCCATCAAATGAAAAGGAGAGATGCCCCCAAGGAGAGATGAGTAACTGCTCAGAACAGCGAAGCATGGGTTTCCCTCCCTCTTTCAGGCCCTGGGGGATATGCACACAGCGGCCAGCCGGTCCCTCCTCCTCCACATCTCTCTCATTGAACCCTAGTACCATGAGCTGCAGGATTGAAACCTGGGGCTTGCTAAAAACGACTACAACCACAAAACTCACTTTTATTAAGCTGAGCACAGTGAATTTAAAAGAACGTAATAAATTATTCAATTAGATGATTATTTTATAAATTGGTTAATCATTTTTTTAACTTGAAGAAAGTCTATTTTGCTTTGTTTTGAATCACAACTTTTTAAACAGTCTTCCCAAATCCCATTCTGAATGTTAGAAATTATTAACCCTTTTTTTCCCCTTGTATAATATCCCTTAATCCTTCTCACTGGCCAAGGATTGGCAATTAGGTGGTTTGGGCTGACTAGAGAAAATGTCATTTATACAAAAAACAAAAGAAAAATATTTTAAAATACTGTATCATCCTTGTTACGTTAAGTAGACCAGTTTGTTAATATTAGCTTGTGCCCTAATTCACAGATACAGCACTTAACATCCATTTGTCTAATTCTTAGATCTCCTTGCCTTTAAATGAAAGTGTTCGGGGTGCCTGGGTGGCTCAGTCGGTTAAGCATGTGCCTTCGGCTCAGGTCATGATCCCAGGGTCCTGGGATCGAGCCCCACATCAGGCTCCCTGCTCAGCGGGGAGTCTGCTTCTCCCTCTCCCTCTGCCCCTCCTCCCTCTGCCCCTCCCCCTGCTCCCTCTGCTCACTCTCTCTCTCAAATACATAAATAAAATCTTTAAAAAAAATAAATAAATGAAAGTGTTCATTAATAAAAGACACAGAGCCTGATGTACTGTCAGTACTGAATAACTGAAAATAGTATGGTCCAAGTAGCCATTTAAGGGCTATTTTTTAAAAAATTGTGAGACATATATGGAAAGTGCATATGCACAATTAAAACATAATTATAAAGCAAATCCCCGTATTACCAACCTTGTCAAGAAAGAAAAATTGCCAGCATGCCAGAAACACCCTATTTATCCATCAGCAATACTCCACCTCCCTCAGAGGTAACCACTAGCCTGCCTTTTTTCCTTGCTTTCCTTGATAGTTTAACCACCCATGTGTGTATCCCTAAACAATAGTTAAATTTTGCCCGTTTTTGAATTTTATGTAAATGGAATTACACTGTAGGCATTGTGTGTCTTTCTTCTTTTGCACTGCCTATGAAATTCATTCATGTTCTGTATAGCTGGAGTCCTCTCATCACTAGTATTCAATGTTATAAATACACCCTAAGTGTTTATCCCCGCAAGTGTTCATGAATACTGGCTATTCCTTCCTAATGTCACACACACAATCAACATGTTTACTTCTAAATGCTTCGTTAAAGCAACAATTAAAACATGCTAAGTAGCACACTTTCATATACTTTTATATGATAATAAATAGTGAATAGCTGTTATCAAATATGATGGTAAAAATAGAACAGTTGGTTTACAAAATTGATACTGCAGGATTCAGGTCAGATTTTTACTTGATATGATTGCCTTCAGCAAATTATATGGAAATGTCCTAAACTGTCTGATTATACTTTTTTTAAAAAATATTTTATTTAGGGCGCCTGGGTGGCTCAGTCATTAAGCGTCTGCCTTCGGCTCAGGTCATGATCCCAGGGTCCTGGGATCGAGTCCCACATCAGGCTCCCTGCTC